TCTTTATTATATTATTAATGATAATTATAGTTTTTTATATTATTATCTATTTCTTTACCCCTATGTACTCGATTTCCCGAAACAACAAGGACAGCTCGATGCAGCCAGGGACGACGATTCTCAACTGGCATTTCTCTGGACTTCTCTGGACTCTCTGGTTCTCTGGAGGCTGACAATGAAGAAAAGTTTAAGAAAACGATAAGAATATGATGATATAAAATCAAAAATTCGATAAAAGAACAAGATTTTCTTCCAAAAAACTGAAAATTCAATCAAATTTGGTGCCTATTAGTGCCGAAAAGCGAAAATGAGCTTCCCGTGCTGAGCTCAGAGCTCATTTCTTTATTTCTTTAAGAATCTTTGCTCTAAAATGAAATTTCACAAAGGTTCACAGAATTTTAAAGCCAAACTTCACTAAAAATGCAACAAAAAGCAACAAAAAGCAGTCATTTGGATGAAAATTGTGAAGTAAAGAAAAGAAGGGGATCGGCTAATGAACTTTGAGTTTTAGGGCTTTAAAAGAATCAGTTTTTTTGAGATTTTATAGATATTTCATAGATTCTAGTTTTCTTTAAATAAACCAGACAATAAAGAAGATTTTAGAGCTGATTTGTTTGAAATGAAATGGAAAATGGAATTGGAGATCGATGCGTTCGAAATTTTTTGAATAAAATTTATCCCCAAAAGAGACAATTATCTCTCCATTAAAAGACGCAAATTCCCAAAAAAAGGGAAAAGAAAAAGGGAAATGATGAGAAGAGAACGATCGAATAAATGAACAAATAGACTGTGCCGTGCCGTGGATGGGGAATGGGGAGAGGAGGAGAATCGAGAGAGGAGCGGCAAGGGAATACCCGTCGAGTGAACCAATCCGTTCATTCTCATCCATTTCTACGACTTTATTGAAAAGGATAGAATCTCTAGTCTAGCTTTACTTCAATTTAAAGCCATCCTGTCCTACTGTAGCCTATAATATACTTAGATAAAGGTTTTACTTTTAGATTTCATGGTCTACTTGATCTTATTAGCAAATGAACGAGGGTGATTTGTTCTTTGTGAAAACAAATGATCGATTTGCTGATTGTCGTGACGATCTCGTGATCGAGATCAAATGGAAATGTTCAGCTAGGCACCCATGTGGACGAACGCCTATTGTGCGAGATTTAATATGCGTCGCTATCCGTTCAACTCCATTGTGTGCAAGACGAGACCAACGCCTGAGTTCCGTATAAACGAGCGATGTGAACGAGCTGCCGAGGTGTGCCGTGCCGTGTCTCTACTCTCCCAATCTCAAACCACTGAACCAACTATTATCGCTGTAATAAAGATTATATCTAAAGCAACAATAATCACTACACTGATCGATTTGCTGATCTCAGTGCTGATCTCCTTGCTGATCTCATTGCTATCTCATTGCTGATCTCCTTGATGATCTCATTGCTGATCTCTTTGCTGATCTCCTTGCTGATCTCTTTGCTGATCTCATTGCAGATCTCATTTCTGATCTCATTGCTATCTCATTTAATGTAAATCGAAAACGCAAAAGATCTCTTTTTTTAACTTCTTGATTTCTTAGAAAGAAATTAAACAACAAAAAAGACAAAAAGGATTGCCGAAATTGTCCGAAACGGATTGCCAGCAAAGAATAAGTAAAAAGTCAAAAGTTCAAAGTTCCAAGGCACAAAGTATAAGTAAAAAGTTCAAAGTTGAACTACAGAATTCGAGAGATTGGTTAATCTGAAGTAAAAGATCTTTTATTGACGTTAAAGATTCAAAAATGATATATGGATAGCAAAGAAAGCGAAGAATAAACTCTTAAGAGTTTTGTCTTCGCTCTCTCTTAAGCTTTGTCTTCGCTCTCTCTTAAGTCTCTTAAGCTTAAGAAAATCAAAGTTTAGTTTATCTCAAAATCCTTTAGAAACCTTTAGAAAGGGATTCCCCGTTTGAATCATCGTGATTTCATGAAATCCTTCTTTCTTGACTCATCCCTTCCCAGACACCCAAATTTCCGTTTCATTTTGAAAGTAGGGAATGGGGCAAAGCAGGGAATGGGGCTTTCCTCATTTGAGTAAAGAACAGGGAAACAGATGATTGTTGATTCTTGTTGGTTGTTGTTGATTGAATGGATTGGAATGGGGATGAGTCATTCAACTAAAGCAGAGTCTGAACTGATAACTTATCTGCGATTCTATTATCGGTGATAAGTAAACCTTAAACCTACCCTGTCCTCAGTAATCAAAAGAGCTTTACTACAGAAGTATTATGTAGTTTAGCATAATTTCAAGAGTCTGGCTGAGATTTGTACGAGTAAAAGCTGCTTTTGATTGTAAAATCAATGGATTTTGATTAATATTGGGTTGGTGAATTGAAAACTGTGGGACTTTGAACTAAAATTTATTCAACATAAACAATTCAACAAAACCATAAATTCATTCCAAATAATTTCCATTATTATTGACGACTTCTGCCCATTTTACAGGCAATTTGCGGATTCCTCTTTCGTAGTAGGATTTTGGTTTTGAATCGAGAAACTTTCAAAGCCAATTTTTGACTGCCTCTTCCGAATCGAATCCCGCAAGCTCATGATCCGGAATAAATAGTAATCAAAAGGGGCGAGGTCCGGACTGTATGGGGAATGCGCCAAAAGCTCCAAAACAAGGCTATTTATTTTAGAGTGAGTCAGTTTTGGTTAAGGAGGTCATGGGGCACTCAAGCCCCAAGTTTCAATTTAAATCCAAGGGTATGAAGGTACTTTAGCACTGTAGCATGATCAACCCCTAACTCTTCTCCCAATTCACGCGATGATACCCGATGGTCGTTGCTAATGAGTTCGAGTAATTTGGAGTCAGCCAGTTGGGGAATGCGCCAAAAGGACTGTATGGGGAATGCGCCAAAAGCTCCCAAACAAGGCTATTTATTTTAGAGTGAGTCAGTTTTGCAACATGAGGGCGCGCGTTGTCGTGGATGAGAACGATCTTTGACTTGGAGGGCCTATTCTTCTTCAGGGATTTATTCACCTTTCCCAACTGTTCACTGTATTTGATTGCATTAACGGTCGTCATTAACGGCATTAACGGTCCATTTTACAGGCAATTTGGGGATTCCTCTTTCTGGGTAGAATTTTGGTTTGTGTGTGAGACAAGTGTGAGACTCAAAAATGGAGGACTGGAGACGTCCGATGTCTCAGTTTGAGCACTTTCTTCAAAAGAAACCCATTTTGGTGTCAATGGAAAAGTTGTAGAGAATCAAAAATCAGGCTTATAACCAAATTTCCACAAAGATACACTTAGTAGTTTCGCTTAAAATGCAAGTTTTGTGAAAATTTGGCATTTCTTTTGTGTAAATTTGGCATTTCTTGAAAACCAGTTTTTGAATCGTTCTGAAAATTTGGATATAAGCTTGATTTTTGATTCTCTACAACTTTTCCATTGACACCAAAATGGGTTTCTTTTGAAGAAAGTGCTCAAACTGTCACAGATGACAATAGCCCGCAGTTTTCAATTCACCAACCCAATAGATCAATAGATTTCGTAACAAAAAAGAATCAATCAATCAAATTACACAAGAATCAATGGAAATCAATGGAAAAATGGGTTAATTTGCATTCGAATTGTCTCAATTCTCTCAATTCTCACCAAGATTCAAAGAAAATAAAAGAAAGAACAAGCCAAAAAACGATTTGAAAACTGGATCCATTACAAAGCTAAGCTTAAAGCTAAGTTCAAAGCTAAAGTTCAAAGCAAAATGTTTGAATTATCATACAAACAAATATTTGTACATATTTTCAAGATCCCATTGAACTCTAGCTCTTTCCCCATTCCCTAACCAATATCTTTCCGTTTTCGCTCGAAAATTTCAAACTTTCGAAAGAGTTGGAAACTAATTGAACGCTTTTTTCTTCTTCTTTTCAATGACTGACACTAATGGGAAAATTTCACTTTGGAATGACAGTTTTCTTGAAAAAAAAGAATACTTACATAAAAAATAAGAAAAGTTAAGGAATTCACGAGATAAGTTTTGTTTTTTGCGCGCTTTCTGAAAAACCCTGGGTAATTAAACCGATTCAAACGGTTTTCCAGCTGCTTTCATTCCTGGCAGTGTGCCAGATGACAATTTTTTCTCCAAATGACATCATGGGTACGCAAGAATAACTTCTTGCGTACCCATGATGTCATTTGGAGAAAAAAAAGCGGCATCTGGCACACTGCTTTTGGTTGGATGACCGCAAAAAAAACCACTCCCGGTTTAATTACCCAAGTGTGCGTACCCTTCATGTCGCTCGTAGGAAAAAGTGCCACCTGGCGCACTGCTTTTGGTTGAGTGATCGGAAAAAATGTCAAGTTGTAATCATGAATGTTAATTAGCTAATTGAGTCTTCTCGACTACTGCAAAACCGTTTTACAATCCCAAAAGTGTTTTTGCTCTTTGTAGGCTCGAGTCAAATTTTGCTTTCTGATAAACTTGGGTAATTAAACCGAGAGCAGCCTTTTTCCCGCCACTCAACCAAAAGCAGTGTGCCAGATGCCGCTTTTTCCTACGAGTGACATAAAGGGTACGCACACTTGGGTTTAAACCGGAAGTGGTCTCTTTTCCGGTCACTCAACCAAAAGCAGTGCGCCAGGTGGCACTTTTTCCTACGAGTGACATAAAGGGTACGAACACTTGGGTAATTAAACCGGGAGTGGTCTCTTTTCCGGCTATCCAACCAAAAGCAGTGTGCCAGATGCCGCTTTTTCCTACGAGTGACATAAAGGGTACGCACACTTGGGTAATTAAACCGGGAAAGACTCTTTTCCCGCCACTCAACCAAAGGTAGTGTGCCATATGCCGCTTTTTCCTCCAAACGACATCGTGGGTACGCACAAATTCGTTTTTGTAGATTTTAATGCTTAAAACACTAAGTTAAGTCTTTAAGTGCCAGCTTTTGCACTCAAAACATTCTTTAGAATGAATTCTACGCGTTGAACTGCATTTCTATTTGAATTTCTTTCGAATCCTACCTGCAATCGATGTCCTTCTTGGTGGCGGGCTGACCGTTCGACCGTTTCCCATCAATGGGCTGCCTGTCCCTAAAACTTCACATATTTATTTAATAGAAACGATTTAAATCTATCTTTCTATAGAACGCATAGAAACGATTTAAATCAATCTTTCTCTCAAATCTCAACAATCACCAATACTTATCGCTCCAAAACCGGCAATACTTTTGCGTCTTTTCCTCGCACTTCTCAGCCTCGCCATCTCGGCACAATCCGGTACTGCAAGAGTCATCGAACTGAAATTTGAGGGATTGTTGTCTGAAATGAATGCCTATTAGTTAAATAATGGGTTATTTATCTTTAGCTTTAAGTGTTTTCTCTTCTTAGACGAATTTTAGAATTTGTCTAAAACTAGATAACATTTGAAGTTGAATTCAAGGAGAATTTTGATCAGGTTAAGAAAAATGCTTTTGAAGCTGATTCAAGGCTTGGAGCTGATTCAAGAAGCCTAATACGGTTCCAATACGGTTCCTATTTTGATCTAATACGGTTCCAATACGGTTCCAAGTTTGAAGCCTTCTGTTATTTATGAGTCGAAAAACCCTTCACCCATCTTCAGTAGTGATGGCGCAGTCGGCAGAGTGCTGGCCTAGAGCTCGTAAGGTCCGGGTTCGAGTCCCCGTAGTGTCACTTGGGGCTTTTTTTGTGGAGATTAAATGTTAAATGTCATTTTTAGTGACATAATATTTTGAGAGTTTTTAAAGAACCAGTTTCTTGCTTAAAGACGGAAGAAAATGCGCAGAAGGACGGGTTTATATGTCGTAGCCGATTATGAATGAGTGGGTCTAGGAGCGTCCAAACATCAAGTATTTAGTATCATTCAACGCAGAATCATTGATAATTATGTTAAATTTTTGAAATTAGAAAGATTGGATTAAAAGAACACAAATTATGGGGCTTCAAAGTTTTCTCTTGAAAAAAAACAGTTTTTTTGCTTTAATTTTTTTTTCTTTTCATCAAATCTTGCTAATTTAAAAAATTTAACATAATTATTAATGATTCTGCGTTGAATGATACTAAATACTTGATGGTTGGACGCTCCTAGACCCACTCATTCATAATCGGCTACGTGGGTCCCGCCGATTTTGAATGAAACGTTGTAGCGCCGGCAATTTTTAACTTAAACTCACAAATTTGGTACCAATCGACGCAGAATTCAATTCGCTACAAGATGATATAATATTGCCCTCATACATTAAAGGGTTGCTCTACTAGAAAGAATTGCCAAAAAATTTCATTCATAATCGGCTACGACATGTATAAAAGATAAAAAGATTCTCGTAAACTGATCTAGCAAAGATCTAGCGTTTAGATGTAAATTTGCTAATCAAATTAGCATCTAAACAATTTAGATAAAGTACTCTAGTGGTGAAGCGAAAGATAGTAAAAGCCAAAGACACCCACCGTCCTTTATTAATCGCATAAACTCGAGTGTTCAGTCGATATTGACACTGTGGTCTATCAAAAGCATTGAATGAATGAAATCTGTTCATATCCAATGGCATTCTTTTCGTATTTCTTCAGCAATTCGAGACTTTACTTTAAAGCGATGTTATTTTCTTTCTTTTCTTTCTTTTCTTTCTTTTCTTTCTTTTCTTTCTTTTTTTTTGGCTTATTTGATGGCTATTCGATGGCTTATTCGTGGGAAAATTTCGTTGTGAATCTCTTGACGCAAAGCCGAAATTTTCTAGAACAAATCGGCTATTTAAAGAAGTCTTTTTCTTAAACAAAATATGCTAATTTTAAAGAAAAATATAAGAAAATGAGAGAAGAAATTGGGAAGAGAAAGAGAATAGGTAAGAAAATTGAAATTCTGAAAGAATTCCGAAGCTTTTGAATAGCTCAATTCTACTGAAAAGCCTTCGAATCTTCCCGATCAAATCAAAAAGGATTCAAACAAAAAAAAACTGAATATCTTTTAATGAATTGAATAATAGAATTTACAAGATATTCGGGGTAGGCTAGTTTCCGCAATTTTTATTTGCCCAACAGGGTTATTTGTGACTGGGTCTTTTGCGCAACTCGCCATAACTTTTTTCTAAGTCGGCCAATCTTTATGATTTTGGTTTCGTTTTGTTGCACTTATTGAGATCTACAAAATGAAAGCAAAAACATAAATATTGACCGAGTTAGAAGAAAGTTATGGCGAGTTGCGCAAACGATCCAGTTGTTCCTGTTGCGATGATCCTTTTGCGCAACCCATCTCCCTTACTCCAGAGCGACTTAACTTCCCTCCTTTCTGGACAAGACGGTTTCACACGTCTCGATTTATAGGCCCGGGGTGCGCTCAAAACTAGGTAGATAACCTTAGCTAGCCTATCCTTCCCTGGTCGCCAGTTGGAACGCCAGCTGGAAGAGCTCGTGCCCCGCCGGGACTCGAGCCCGCATCCTTTCGCTTACCGGCAACTGTGCTAACCATTACACCACAACGCACTTGATCTTCCTTACTCCAGAGGAAGTTAACTTCCCTCCTCTACTGGACGAGAGTTAACACCCTCTGTAGTCTCAGGTGCGTCGTGGTGTTTCCGGTTCTCAAGATGAAAGTTGCGTACGGACAGACAGACAGACGGACAGACGGACGGACAGACAGAGGACAGATGGACAGACAGACGGACAGACGGGCAGACGGACAGACGGATAGACGGACAAACGGATAGACGGACGGACAGACGGACAGACGGATAGACAGCCGTCAATTATATATATATCGTGGTGTAATGGTTGCCACATTTGCCCGGTAAACAAAAGGCGCAAAGGCAAAGGGCAAAAGGCGCTGTTGCTCAAAAAAGTTGCGGAAACTAGCCTACCCTGGATATTCAGTTGAAATCCAGGAATGATTCTAGTTCTCTCAATGATTTTCCAATTGATTTCAAATAGAACTATTAAAGTATTAAACAAAAAAGAACTATGTTTTTTATAGACTTTAATAGACTTTAATAGACTCCAAAAGAGTCCAAAAGACTTCAAAAGACTCCAAAAGACTCCAAAAGACTTCAAAAGACTCCAAAATGGATATCAAAGTGAATTTTTCTACTCTCATAAAATGGAAAAAGGTTCTACGCTCTTAAAATGGAAAAAAATTGGTCCTCAGGGAAATGAAGGCAATTTTTGGAAAGAAAGCATATAAATAAAGCAAGAAATAAGAAAAGAACTGAAAAGAACTGGAAAAAACTGAAAAGAAAGGCTTCTATCCAAACAAATTAGGGGAAAAACTCTAGAGATTCATATAAGCAGCGATTGATCAGCATTGATGAACCCCTGTCGTGCTTTAAACTCCCCTAAGCTCCCCTACGCTCCTCTAAACGCGCACTTTCTTGCATACCAATCGAATTCATTCACACTACTCCAGCTAGTGAGTCTTTGTGAGCACAAAGAGCTCGCACAAAGAGCTCGCACAAAGAGCACAAAGAGCACAAAGAGCTTCGGCTTTCAACTTTGAACTTAAAATCTCGATCACGATCCTTATAAAGTCATCTGAATCTCTAAAATATTAAATCAATAAGATTTTTGACTAGTACAGCTCAAATCCCGATTTATCCTTTCTCAACTAAGTTCTGGATCCTTATAAGGATCTAAATTGCTCTAAAAAACTCTAAATTGCTTTTTAATGACTGAAAAGATTCCATATTTGGAAAAAGAGATCGAAAAACTTTCGAAATTTCTCAAAAACGCCATTGGTCTTAAAGAATTTTTGAGTAAACCACTCAAAAAAAGGTTTTTTTAAAGAATTCTTTCTTTAAAAGTTTATTCTTTGTTTCATTTCTTTATTTAAAGTGATCCCTGAGGCGTGAAGAGAAAAGAAAAGGAAGAAAAAGGAAGGAAAAGAAGAGAAGAGAAGAGAAGAGAAGAGAAGAGGAAAAGAAAGGAAAGAAAAGAAAATCGAATCGAATATTTAGAGAGGATGAACCCAGATTTCAGTTAAAAGAGGACAAAAGAGGAAATAGGGAAATGTTGGGTTTGGCTTTTGAAGTAGCCTTATTTAAGAACTAAAATTTAGAACTTACAACTTGTTAGATAAGACTAGAGTGTTTTCTTGCGATTCTCTCTAATAGTAGTGCACCCTGTCGAGCCGAGTTGGTGACTATTTACGGCTTCCAAAGTTTTCCCAGAAGCTCAACACTCAAATCCCTCACTAGATCTCATCGTCAGCTACATTTTCCGATCCCACATCGATAGGTTCTGATAAGCGGTTCTCGAGATTTCGAGGAATTTAGGCAACGCTCAGAGTGCACTACTATTAAAGCCTTTATAACGTAAAGTTAAGCCACCGCTGGTTACTGGCTACCACCGCTGGTATTCTTGGTTACTCGGTGGCCAAGTGGTAAGTTGGCGTCCAATGCTATGACGTTGGCGTCCAATACTACGAGCCGTCCAATGCTATGACGCTAGGTTCAATCCAGCGCTCGCCTTTTTTTTTTCTTTTCAGTTCTTCATTAAGTTTTAAAGTCTTATTCTTTATTTTCTCTAATAGTATTGCACCCTGTCGAGCCGAGTTGATGACTATTTACGGCTTCCAAAGTTTTCCCAGAAGCTCAACACTCAAATCCCCCACTAGATCTCATCGTCAGCTACATTTTCCGACCCCACATCGATAGGTTCTGATAAGCGGTTCTCGAGATTTCGGGGAATTTAGGCAACGCTCAGAGTGCACTACTATTAGTACTATTAAAAGCAGCACTACTATTAAAATATAGTATACACAATGCGGCGAAAGTTTTGTCCTTTTTAAAATTCGTTTTAATTAAATTCTCTCTAATTTTTATTATTTTATAAGTGTTTATAGCCGAAAGATGCCCAGTTTTCCACAGAATTTCAATCTTCTAACAGTTTTTAAATAAATTCTTTCAATTTTGAGTTATCACAATTGATCGTGAGCTCTGTGATCGCAGTAGAGTTACCAGTAGAAGAAAAGCTGTCAAACTTAGAACACAGACGATTTGGAGTATTCAAAAAGGTTTTTTTATCAGTTCAAAACTGCAAATACAACACCAGTTTTCAATAAGTTTTTATAGAAATTTTTGCAAATGAAAAAGCGCAAAAAAAATAAGTGTGACTAGAGATCTTTTTTCGAAGAGCATAGATTAGCGATCATTCAATATCTAAAGAAATTATTTTAAAACTGTTTGAAGATTTAAATTCGGTAAAAGATTGGCTATCTTTTGGCTATAAACATGAAATAGAATCAACAATTTAGAGAGAATTCTAAAAAGGGCAGAACTTTCGCCATCGTTTATTTAATTTGACATTTTTCTTGACGGGATTACAGCACTTTTGTCGGGGCCGTGTTTTAAAATCACGAATTACCGTATTCTCTAATAGTAGTGAACCCTGAGCGTCGCCTAAATTCCTCGAAATCTCGGGAAGCGCTTATCAGAACCTATCGATGTGGGGTCGGAAAATGTAGCTGACGATGAGATCTAGTGAAGGATTTGAGTGTTGAGCTTCTGGAAAAACTTTGGAAGCCGTAAATAGTCACCAACTCGGCTCGACAGGGTGCAATATTATTAGAGAAAATACGGTAGCTGAAATGTTGCTACAGTGCGAAGACAGAAAAGGACACACTTTAGCAAACAATGGTTCGTTGTTCTTTTTGAAGCTTTCATTGATGGATAGTGCGTTGATTTTCAAGCCTAAGCCTAAGTCTAAGCCTAAGTCTAAGCCTGAGCCTGAGCCTGGACCTAAGCCTGGGCCTAAGTCTAACCTGAGCCTCACCAACTCGGCAGGGTGCACTATTAGGGAATGCACCTTAAGGTTTGCCTAGATTCCTCGAAATCTCGAGAACCGCTTATCAGAACCTATCGATGTGGGGTCGGAAAATGTAGCTGACGATGAGATCTAGTGAGGGATTTGAGTGTTGAGCTTCTGGAAAAACTTTGGAAGCCGTAAATAGTCACCAACTCGGCTCGACAGGGTGCAATACTATTAGAGAAAATACGGTAGCTGCGGTTATCTTAGGTACATGCATAAGAAATGCGGATTTCAAGATTTTTGATGAATTTGCAACGATAGAAACCTGATGTTATAAACTAGAATCGATGGGTGTTATAAACTATTATAAATGTCGTAAACGAAAGTTGTAAATCTCCTCTATAAAATAGGCTAAAACGTGTTTCAATTGATCGAACCATTGAAGAAATTTCGAGGGCGAAATGCGAGTGACCAAAAAAAGGAATCGAGTCACTTTAGGGACAAGTTTAGTGTCGTCAAAATAGAGTTAGCTTCCCAAAATTGAAGGTTTAATGTGGAATAACTATATAGTGGAGAGTGACCACCATAAAATAGCTTTCAAAATAATTAAGAGTTGGGATCATTTCATGGGAAAACTTTGTTTTTAAAATAATTTTTCAATTTATCAGGTTTCTATCATTGCAAATTTATCAAAAATGTTGAAATCCGCATTTTTTATGCATTTACCTAATAGTTTAATGAAGTAAACAACTTTTACGTCAACTTTAGCTTTTTACCACAAAGCATATCCATTCTAATCTCTTCAATAATCGAATTT